AAAGGTTTAAAACCTGGCGACAATACTTTGAATTATTTTCATAAAAGTACCTTATGCATACACAGAGATAACAAGCACAATGAAAGTTGCCATATTACTAAATTACATGTATTTTCTAACTTCAAATAATTACATGAATATCTTTCTCTTAGTAATATAATTTCAGTTATATTCATAATTGTCTAAATCTCGTTATACTCGTGGAGAGCCCAGCACAAATAGCCCACTGTGTAGCTTGGCGCTCAACAACAAACAAGCAAAATTAAACCTGTATTATTGAGAGATGTTGTGATGGTCGCCCCATCTAGTGGTCACTTATCGTAACAGATACGCAATCTACAGAAGAATAACTGTATTTTTATTTACTCTTCTGCTTGTTAGTAACCACACAATCATAGCATCATCATGAAGGTAACAAATACAAGATCCAAATATAGCGTAACATGGAAAATATTATTCATAACATATCGTATTCCAGCCGAACTTGATATTAAGTGAAAGGCCTGGATATGGTATGTGTAGTGTAGTTAACATATTATTAGATATTCTTTTGTGCTTTCACTCATAAATTCTTTAGCTTCGGCTATTATTCAAAGAATAGACAACCTGACCACAGTGAGTGAATCTCAACTGAACGTACATGATATTGTAAAATTTTAATACTGTTTATTGTGTGGCAGACTTTTAGGCTTTATTTATTATTATAACTAACACTTCTCGTGTTATGTTAAATTCATATTATATGAGAAGTAAAAACCACCATGTTTTAAAGAAAAACGTCAGTGATAACTAGTTCACAAACTAATTCTCGTACTTTTCATTATTTTATTCGCAGTATAATAGAGCTGAAGACATTGTTAACCTACTACACGGTGTGTACGGCATCGAATACACCGTTAACTTACAACACGGTGTCGAAGATATTGTTAACCTACAACACGGTGTGTACGGTGTCGAAGACATTGTTAACCTACTACACGGTGTGTACGGCATCGAATACATCGTTAACCTACTACACGGTGTGTACGGCATCGAATACATCGTTAACCTACAACACGGTGTGTACGGCATCGAATACATCGTTAACCTACAACACGGTGTCGAAGATATTGTTAACCTACAACACGGTGTCGAAGACATTGTTAACCTACTACACGGTGTCGAAGATATTGTTAACCTACAACACGGTGTGTACGGTGTCGAAGATATTGTTAACCTAAAACACGGTGTGTACGGTGTCGAAGATATTGTTAACCTGCTACACGGTGTGTACAGCGTCGAGATATTGTTAACCTGTTACATGTCATTTTGCCTCGCCCCCCAGTGGTATGTCTGCGGACATATGCTGCTAGAAACCGGGTTTCGATACCCGTGGTGGGCAGAGCACAGATAGCCCTTTATGTAGCTTTGTGCTTAATAACAAACAACAACAACAACATTTTTCCTCTCGCTGTCTGTAACCATACACAATTTCCAGGTTTTGATGTGTTGGTACATATTTAATGGAAACAGCCATCGACCAAACAAACGTGAGAGAAGAGTAACTGTCAATTCAAAGGAATTTAAAATAAAAAGATACTTAATTTTTTTTCTTCAAAAAGTCAACATATCATCGAAGATATTTAATCAAGATACAAGTTATCTTCATGTTAGTAATTGGGATATAATAAAGTCTGATTTCAGTGGGATTAAGGATCTCGTAATTTCTAAGTTAGCTTAGATTAGCTGGGATCTTTAGGTTTGGAAAACCAGAGCTGAGTATGAGCTAATTCTGGTATAAGTAAAATTTAGAATACGCAAGTTGGTTTGGTGTTTTTTACTTTTTTTGCAGCTGCGTAACGTGTAGTCCAAAATTTTCAAATCTTTTGAATTACTTGTTTTACGTCAATAGGTAAATATAATATTTATTATGAATAAAAACGAAATTGTATTATTGTGCCATTTATCTATAGGTACCGTATTGATAATGATACGCTTTAAGTGCGATATTTTGAATACCTACCACTATACATTCACTGAAGGACTTAAAGAGGGCGTGACTTACAACTTAAAACATACAGCGGATGTTATTATCACTTTATAAAGTTTCGCGTTGGTTTAAAAATAAACCTAATAGTTAACTTGTTGGTAGAAATTGTGTCAGAAGTCCCCATATTTGTTTAGCTCAAGGGCTTCCATGACGATAATCCCCCTGGATGAAGGTCCCCCTCATCCAATCAATTCATGTAAATAGAGTACCTTACTTTCATTTGTTTGTTTGTTGTTAACCGCAAAGCTACGCAATTGGCTGTCTGTGTTATACCCCATTTTTACCGTTATAAGTCCCCAGACTTGCCGCTGAGCCACGGGGAGAGGGGTTACTTTCATGCAAGTTCCTGATACGTGTTTTGTTCGCTATAAAATACTTTTCAGATGTTAAGAGTAGCTTGAAAGGTAATATTTTTATATATCGTGCGCCATCCCCTCTCCCAACCCCAGCTCTTTAATTATTTATATTCACAAAATTAATGAATCGAACTTTGCCCCTCCCCCGTAGTGATTCAGACTTATAAAGCTACAAACCAGGTTTGATACCCGCGGTGGATAGAGCACATATAGCTCATTGTGTAGCTTGTGCCTAACAGCAAACAAAGACACCCAATATATAAAATATAGTATATGTTACAACTTGGTATATCAACCAAAACACGTTTTATGAAACATCGTAAAATATACATCTTAGAAGCAAGTGACAATACAAGTTCCACGTGTTACTTTTATTAGGAAGGATATTTTACTTTTCTCTATTGTGTGCAGCATTGGAGCCGAAAACGTAACAAAATCGTTGGGAATTCGCAATGACTGGCACCTGAGAATTGTATACAAACAGCGTTTCGGTACTAACGACTGCTCATCTCCCCTAAACTGTCGCAAACCAACAAAATAAACAATTTACGTATGGATATTTGGTCAGTTTTTTTCTTTGTTTTCTGTGAAGTCCCACGCACTGACAAGATAGTTGTGATGGGACTGCGCCGGTTTGCGGACCGGTGGTTGACAGACGCTGCTTTAGAACTACACGAATGTGTTGCGAAAAACAAAAACTTCTGAAATAATGTTTGTTGAATTTCGCCCAAAGCTACTCGCCGGGCTATCTGTGTTAGCCGTCCATAATTTAGAAGTGACAGACGAGATCAAAATGTATATGAATTAAAACATTTAATCTTGGATCACGGTTTATCATTTTCACGGAATCATGTTTTCAGTATATAAAACGTCGATAGGTTTGGGGTCAGGGAAAAAAATGTTAAATTAAAAGGGATTCTCAGAGGAAAGGCAACTATACAACAACACCCACCGCCAACTCTTGGGCCACTTTAATCGAATAGTGAGATTATCAGTAACGTTATAACGCCTCCACAACAGAAAGGGCAAGCATGTTCGGTGATGGGGTTCGAATCCGTGATCTGCACGTTGCGAGTCGAGCGCCTTAATCACCAGCCCATAATTAATGTTAATATATATATATATATATATATATATATAACCAAAAATCTGGATTATAAGGGATTCTACAAAATACGTCAGTGTGAATTTACTGCATTCATGTGAATCTGTAACCTCTAATGCAAACAAGATGGAATTCTCAATAGCCGCTGCAATTGAAATTCTTTTACACAGGATTGAAGTAAATTAATCTTTTTTTTTTTACTTTTTATTAGCTCTATTTTTGTGCGCTAGCAATACCAAGCGTGGGGCGCGCGTATCCCCAATTTGATTTTATTACTCATCAGGATCTCTACTAGCCTACCCTCAAATTGAAATTCTTTTAGGCAGGATTAGAGTAAATTAATCTAAATGACCTTGGGCGTAGTCAAATATATCAACCGAAAGGGTTTAACCTCCTGAGTTCGAAACTGTAATTATATCTCAAATCGGTCAATAGATGACGGAGATAGAAGCCG